CTAGCTGCTAGCTGTAGTAAAGGGCGACCTCTAGCTATGGGAACAAATTTCAGCATACGGGCTCGTCTTCTCATAGTACAGCCCAAGAAACAAGGGCTCAAAGATTGTCTGGACTCGAGACCTTGTTAGCCCAAAACTAAGTACCACCTAATTAATTCATAATGTTCTCTCTTGGCTTCTACGGAAAACTAAAGGTTTATTTGGACAGAAAATAATTAGGATAAAGTACAATAATTCCCGTCCTTGGGGTATTGTGAAATCATAGAAATTATTTAAATTTTTTAAAGATTTAATATTAAAAAACCCTCTATTTTAAAAAAAATATATATATTTTTTTATCTTAAACACCCTTAAATACTATTTTTAAAAACAATTAAATTAAAAATTTTAAAAAATTAGAAAAAATATAAAAAACAAGTCATAATTATTTTTTAGTATATAGAAAATACTACTTTTATTCCAAATAGATTATCCTCCTTTATATTTATACTAGCATATATCTCGCGTATTGTCACGGGGTGAATTATATAACATTCTTATGGATTCATTAATATAAAATTTAACTTTTTCAAATCACTATTTGACAATATCATGCAAAAATAATTCAAAAAAAAAAACTAAAACATATATTTCATAATTTGCTATAGGATTAGCTAAATGAAAAGTCCGCAAAGTTGAGTAATATAATGTTGCTAATTAGATATTGTTTGATATGAACATGTATTTTATTAATAGCTGATAATTAAAACAATAATGTGGTAGTTTTTTGAATTTTTTATGATTAATTTTTACCATATATTATTTATCTATAATTTGTTAATGAGACAGAGAGACAACTCAAAACAAAAAGACAATAAACCTCTATCAAATCGAGAATTTGGCAAAGAAAATAGAGATAAAATTACACACGATAAAAATTAAATGATTAAAACAAAGTAAAGATTATAAAAAGGATAAAAATAAATAAATAAAAATTTCACTAAAAGCATAAAAAAAAAACTTATAAATAATAAGATTAAAAAAAATTCATTATGCATAAGGTAGGAACAAAAGTAAACATTATAGAATTTTAATGACTAAAATAAAAAAATTAATAAACTAAGAATCAAAACAGAAAAATTTTCACTGAAAATTAAAAAAAAAAACTCAGCATAGTTATGATGTATTTAATTTTAATGTAAAATGAATAATAATTAAATATAATAAAATTTTAATGATCAAAACAAATTAGAGATCATAAAAAAAAAATCAAAATATAACAAAAAGTTTTATTAAAAGTAAAAAATAGTTCCTTGTAGGAAAAAAATTTAACGATCAAAATAAAAAATAATTATAAAGCAAAGACTAAAAAAAAATTATACTAATTTAATGACGAAAACAAAGAAAAAATAACAAAACGAAAATTAGAATAGAAAGAAAATTTCGGTAAAAAAAAAAAACCTTAGGATAGTAAACTTTATTTAGTTTTAGTATGGTAAGGATAAAAATTAAATATGAGAAAATTTTAATAACTAAAATAAAAATATATTAAAAAATAGAAACAAAAAAAGAACATAAATTTTGATTATAAGGATGAAAATCACATATAATAAAATTTTAATATTTCGATAGGGATAAAAATAAAAAAATCAGAAAAGTATAATGAACAAAATATATATAAAAAAAAAAAGAATGAAGGGACCAAAATAAAAAGTAATTTCCTAAGCTGAAACGGAAGGAAAAAGAAAAGAGTCATGCTAGAGCGCCGGGCACAGACTGTCGCTGCCAAAAAAAAAAAAAAAAAAAGGGTTGTAACTTCGGCAAATCGAGCTTACTGGAATCTTCGTCGAAAAGTCGAGGATCAAGTTTCGGACCTCTAGAAATTGAATTCCGATATCATTTTTTCCCTAAGCACCTCTAAATGATCGAATAAAGCTAATAAACATATCTAAAACCTTAAAAATCCTTTTAATGCACACAAAAACAAAAACAAATGATACAATTAAATTGGAACATTGTTTTTTTTTTTGCTTCGATCTACCTCCTCTAATTGTTTCATGGCTTGAAATAATCATGGACAAACTCATCTCTCAAAAATAAAAAAAATATAGTGGATTTTCGCGGCCAAAGTGGCCTAAATAAGCTTGGCCGACGATCCCTCTCTCCTCTCGTCTCTCTCTTCCTTCCTTCCTTCTCTCTCATCAAGGGACCAAAATGGACGAGAAAATGAAGACGTGGATCAAAAAATTCATTGAAAAAGATGAGGGACCAAAATGTAAAAAAACCAATAATAGTGAAATGTTAGTATAGAAACAATATTTAAAACAGTAACCTATCGTTTTTGTTTTAGTTTATTTAGTTAATAATATAAAAAATATTTATTTGGTCAAATTTTTAATATTTTATTTTTTAAAATATCTTTAGCTTGTAATGCATGGTTAAATCAAATAGAATTTCTCCTTAAACAATATATATATATATATATATATATTACTAAAAATACTCGATATCGCATTATAACTAATAAGTTTTTTAAATAAAAATCAAAAGAGATTATCACTTTAGAAAGAAAGAGTATTGATTTTATTTAATTTCAGTCAATTTGGTTCTGAATTTCTTTTTTTTAATATTTTTTGTAATTTGTTTTAATTTAACTACTTTTTAAAATAGTAATTATGGATGTTTTGGGTATAATGGGATGTCTCTGTCAAATTTTCAAAGTTTTCCATGGTTTCTATAATTTCACACTATATCAAAAGAATTTTAATAATTTACATAAATAATTAATTTAAAGAAAAGCTAATTATTTAACTAGCACACCAATAAATGCTCAATGCTTACTGTCGCAATCTTTTATAAAAGTTTGTTAAAAAATAAATTACTTTTATAAAAGTAATTCCTTTCAAGCCAAGGTAATTAAGTGGTCCCATTTGGGAAAATAACTGAATATGGCATAACGTTGGCATTCCTGATCGGAAAAAAATGACATTCACATAGATTAAGATTCAGCACCATCGTCATTCGTCAAGCATGCAACCGCGATTTCTGCAATCATATGGGTCGGTGCAAGTCATTGCAGATGATCATGTGTTTAGACCCGCAGACTATATTTATCTGGAACGAATCCTTTACAATTTTAAATTCAGTCCATTGTCAAAGAATCAATTTTCAATTTAATTACCTAAATACTTTATAGATTTTTTTTTTAATCCACAATGAGTTTTATTAACATATTAAACTTAATTGTCAGAAAAAAATGAGAAGATATTAAACTCCTGAAAAAAAGAAAAAATTACTCCATTGAAAAAAATAATAATCTAAAATTGATTCTTAGAAAGATTACCCATCATATTAAATTATTATTGATTTTTTTATTGATACTAGAACTCTAGAAGTATGTAGCCGTATAGAATGATTTTACTATTATGAAAATTACTAAATTAATGTCCATGTGTTATTGTTAATTCATCACTATATTTATTTGCGTTCATGATTTTTTTTATTTTTTGGATAAATGTATCCATTTATTTTTATATAATGCTTAAAGTATTTTATTTATTTTTAAAATATTCAATTTATTTTTTGGATTAAATTTTTTGACAATAACTTTTTTTATTGAAATATCCATTTACTAAAATATGAAAAAAAATACTTAAAGTTACATACTTATCTGTACTATTTTTTTAATTTATGTTTTTACATTTCAATGAGAGATATTTCGATAAAAAAATATTCAGTGAAAAAATTAATTGAAAAGACAAATTGAGCATTTCAAATACTTTTAAAAATAAATAAGATATAATTAAAAATCTAAAAAATATAAAAAAATTCTAAGCATTATATAAAGATATAAATATATTTACCTTTTATTTTTATAAATATATTCATGATTTCTTATGCCATATGAACTAGAACGAAAGTTGAGCCTGATAAAAAGAAAAAACTTAAACAACTATAGCGTCAAATAATCCTTGAAGTTACCAACAGGCATTAAGTTAAAGCAGAAATAATCAATTATAAAAAAGGGCCGCTGACACCGAACACTGTTTTATTCCAAAAAGTTCATCAATTGGCAATTCAAATCATGGGAAAAAAAGCCCACTACCATTTATTTTCCATCAAACTCGCGCACTTCACACCTATTGAAAGCAGAAATCCTTGAAATTTTACCCGTTCCGTATTTGCATTGTCGTCACTGGAAATCATTATTACGTTGCCTATAATTTTACTGCCATACGCAACGAATCGTTGGTTGGAAAGCAAGCGCGTGATTTTCTTTCTTTTTACTGCTCTATTGATTGAGAGATAAATTGAAGTGACGTCTCCTGCGAGCTTGTGACTTCAGCGTTGCTTACAAGAGCGTCTTTTTTCTCACCCCACTTAACAATAAATGCTTCCGTTGACTGACGCAACCAAATCAAACATTGCCACGTGTTCTTCCTTCCTTCCTTCCTATTCATTAATTGCTAAATTGTAAAATATCAACCAAACTTTACGGAAAAAAACAAATACCTAGCTGATTTTTTTTTTTAATTTTGTTCATTAAATAATATAATTTTTAAATTTATCTATTCTATTAGCTTTCTGTTAAAAAGTAAATAAAAAAACTCTTTAACAATCTTCTCAATTCTTTTCTTTTCCTTATTAGCAAATATGTTTTTTTCAATTAATAGAGAAACTAATAAAAATTAAAATTTTCGGTCAATTTATTTTTCAGTCAAATTTTCAACAAAATCCTAATAAAAAAATAAATTTAAAACATCATATTGTTTTTTTTAAAAAAAGCAAAAAAATTAATTTATAAATGTATTTTTTTTTCCCTCAAGTTTACGAGGTATTTTACAAATTAGCCTTAATTGCTCTCAAGATGCCTGCCCTCTTTTTCCTAAATCCACTCCCACACCTAAATCTCTCTCCTTCCCCTCTCTTTCCTTCTGAACAAAAAAGTTCAAAACAAAGCCTTTTCCCTCTTTCGATCCCTGTCTTTCTTTCTTGATATATTCAAAGATCTTAAATTGAAAATGGGAAATGCCTTGAGGTTACTCTATGGGCATTGTTGCAAACCAACAACAGCAGGGGACTCGGATTCATTGGGACCCCACGGCGTTTCAGCGGCTACAGTTGGTGTTTCAGCTCTTGCCCGTGATTTGTTGCACTTTGAAGTCACCTCCCAGGTATACTTAATTGCTCAGATTTTAAGCTTTTCTGAAACTTTGGGCTGTTTCTGGTAATGTTTGACTTTTCTTATGGTATTAAATTCTTGATCATGGTCAATCTGGGTGATCATGGAACTTTTTCTTTTCTTTTCTGTTTTAATGCCATGGCTTAGCTTAATTTTATGATCTTTAGAGTTGAGCGTATTTTGTTTGTTTTTTTTAAGGTACCAGAAGGACTTAGTAAGCATGTGGTCTCATCCAAGAAGGCTCAAGCTAATTGGTAAATAATAATTCATAGCAGAGTCTCCAATTCTCTGTGAAGTTAGAAGCATGTAGTAATATGCAGTTAGTCTAAATTTTGGACTTCGTGAAGGTATAGAAAGTTGTTGGAGGCATGGAAAGAAGCAAAACCCCCACCAAAAACACCTGAAGAAGCTGCTAGGCTTGTTATTCAGACCTTGAAGAGACACCAAAAGGCAGATGTTGAGGTAATAATTGAAAAACCACCAATTAGAGCATTAGACTTGTCGGAATGCAGAATTCTTACTACATTGGGCAGGTTTAATGCAAGATGATTGTTCCTATTTTTCCTCACAGGGTTTGTTGGCGTTCTATGGTCTCCCACTTCCTGATACTCTTGTTCAAGTTTCTGCTGGGGTCCCGACGTCATTGCCTGAAGGGGTCAAGTTTGAGATGCAAACTCTACCAGTAAATTTTAGCAATAACCCTTGCTCAAACTTCATATTTATTTACATTCAAGTTATTTTGAGAGTTGGTCTCATGAGATAACCATTTGAATTAATTGACCCAGGTGGATCCAAAAGCTGTAGCTGATGGAGACACCATAACAGTTTACGTTGGCACTACGGACCCCAGGGAGTCATCTTCTGTTCCAGGGGAAGTTCAGATGGCCGCTGTTCAAAGATCAAAAGCTCGTGCAGAGAGGAACTATGGGAAGGCAGATGCACTTCAAAAAAAAATTGTTGAAGCAGGATATCGGTTGGTTATCTGATTTCTCTTGTATGAATTTTGTTAAATGGATTCTCGGGGTGACAAATTCCTTTCAGATAATTTGGTTTGTAAACTCTTTTGCGTGCAGGGTAATAAATGTTCAAAATGAGGAGATTCTTGCTCGAAAGTATCGCATTCGATTAAGGTAACATCTACTCCTTGTAGGATTCAGTCCCTAATATAGTTAGACTTGTGTATTCCATAAGAGGTTAATGACTTCGGAGTGTAAACAATGTATAGGGGCATAGATGCCCCTGAGGGTTCAATGCCATATGGGAAAGAGGCGAAAGAGCAGCTAGCCAATCTTGTTCAGGGCAAGTGTTTGAGGATCTTCATCTATGGAGAAGATCGCTACGGCCGCAGTGTAGGAGATATTTATTGCAATGGAATATTTGTACAGGTGGTGTCCCCATTTACTTGATTTGATCTTTATATATGATTTATCAGTGGTGTATGTGCTTTCTAAAATTTGCGGGTATAACAGGAAGTAATGCTCAAGAAGGGACTTGCTTGGCATTATACTGCATATGATCAACGCTGGGAGCTAGAAACTGTATGTAACCATTATTCTTATCAAACTCACGCACTGTAAACTATACAAACTTCTTTGTAACCTAAGTATTGTATGTATCTTATTAGTGGGAGAAGGAGGCTCGAGCAAAGCGAGTTGGGTTATGGGCTTCATCAAATCCAGAGAAGCCATGGGAATGGAGAAAGGACAGACGTGAGGGCAGATAGTATTGCCTAATTAACCCGTCCAGACAAGTGTGCCATTTGTTTTTGATGGAAGGAGTCTGCCTTGAACCACATTAAGCAGGTATAATCGAAACCAAGCTCTGTGCCCTGTATGAACTTATAAATCGTAGGAAATTCTGTACAATTTGATACTAAAGACTAATGTAAGTTTTTGTAATTCAATGTTGGATTGAAAATGCCATTGAAGTAAGTAAGAACTTGAGCCTAAAAGCAGGAAAATAACGTACTATTGAGTTAAAATGTCCTCACCTCTGGGCTAAAACCATGAACGTTAGAATAATCATTGCAAATGAGGAAGAGAAAGATCAGTTAAAACTCCATATATGCAACATCCCTGTTTCTTTGTTCAGGGCAAATGCACCCAAGGACAAATATATGACCGTCAACAAAACTCAAAAAGCCCAAATCTTTTTCCAATAAATACATAATCTAAGATGTTTCCAAGCAAAGACCATAGGAGAATCCTCTTCATTCCACTTAGTGCTAAACTAATAGTAGTAAAAGGAAGAGTAAAAGAGAAAGAGATGAAATTCTTTCTAAAAGTGCTCCGGAAGTTAATGTATCAGAGGCCAAAATTTGAAATGCAAAGCGCCACTGCAACGGGGAAAACATACCTAGAGTTGGATAAAATAAAATAAAAAAATCAAAAATCAAAATTTTTTGATAGATGATATAATCAGCATCTGGACTTTCAAAGAGACAGCACAGCCAAACAATACGCTGCAAAAGACAATAAACAAGATTTAGTATAAAAGCTGTCCACAATTTGCTTAAATCCATTTATGAAATGCAAACTACAATTAATAACTTTATATATTTTCTGTTTCCAATTTTCTTCTCCCCGGTTAACTATCAACCTGAACAACCAGCCGTTCCCACCAAACAAGATTCATGTGCTTATCCTCCCAAATCTTTCCACCTTAAAGAACTGCACTGCTTAATCCCTCCAAACATATTTCTTGGTTTACTGATAAAACCCATAAAAACCAGAGTTCAATGCACTGTCCAAACTAATCATGTCAGTTGCTTAAAATGCTCTCAACAGGTGGTCACTTTAAGTTTCACAATGGCATGATCAGCAATTCCATTTCTCTCTTGCTAATATTAAATAGAGATTAAAGCTAATAACATGCTCTCAACAGGCGGTCACTTTAAGTTTTACAATGGCATGCTCAGCAATCACATTTCTCTCTTGCTAATATTAAATGGAGATTTAAGTCTATCCACCTTTCTTCTAGGAAATACCACTGACTGTTTATAATAACTCCAAACTAGTGATGAATAGATGGGCCAATTCAGCATCTGTAAAAAGATAATCGATCCATTCTAAATACAAAAATGTGAGCCCCAGGGAATATGCAGTGGCAAGATACTTTATCCAAGGGCTATAACGGTATGGTTTGTGATTAAGAAGATGCAAAATCATTAAGCAGGATGATTAATGTGAGTATAATGTCAAAAAGAGTTCTGCCAGGGAGTCATAGTCATGTTCATCAAGTTGGTGACACAAAAATGTCCTTAATTTACAAAGAATATATTGATCAAGACCCGAATATGCATTCATATATCTAAGATACAATAAATGTCAACTAAATTTAATTATCCTCGTGAATGAGCAAAGACTGAACAGAGTCGTGCAGAATTAAAAAAGAAATGGAAATTCCACAGTTCTCCTGGACCATATCTCCCAGAAATCCTCTTTTTGTCTTTATTTGGCAATAGAAAATAATATCAGACGGGAAACAAGGGTGTAAAACAGTAAAATGGGTCAAAATGAATACTGGAAAGCTGTTTCACAGTTCGGCTTAAGATAGAGATAGATTTAAAGCAAGCTCAAGAAAATAAAGCAAGCATTATAGAGATAGATCATCATAGAGGGGGAACTCTAAGACTCAGTTGGCAGCTTAAAGAATGTAGAGAAAAGAACTGTTTCAATATAGTATCAAATGTGTGAGGGAGATTGGGACAGGTGATGGGGTGGAAGCTATTGAATCTTGCTTCCTGGCTCTGAGTTTAATTACAATACGCAAGTCCAATAGATATCCTAGTTCCTTATGGCAACTTCAGAACAGTTGACAATTACTCCCCAAAACCACCAAAAAATCATGGAATGCAACGATCGTCAACAGCAAATTATGTCACCTAATTCTCAGAAAGCTTTTACTAATTTTGGTTCTCAAAGCCACAAGAGAATAAACACAGTGCTTCTCCCACTTTGTCAGGAATGAACAAAACAATTGCGTATCTTTCAGCATGCTATAAAACTTAGAACTTATCATTTTGCACCCAGTAATGGTTAATTTTCTGAGGCAAACTAATACCAAAGATGAGTTTTCTACTACTGCATGGAGGGAAAATTGGAAATAGAATCAATCAAAAACAATAACTTAGTAGATCAGCAGCAACAATGGTAGAAATTCACCTCACATTATCATTTGTGATTTTCCCAAGACTAAAAATATTTGACCTTATTTCCTGTCATCCTCCACTTCATCTGAATCTGAGTCACTTGCATTATAACCTAAAGGAGTCCAAATAAAAGTCAAGTAAAATAAACAGAGCCATAACCTAGAATACCACTAAAAGAAGAGAGAGAGAGATCATGTACCTGGACGTTTATCGCTTACTTTCCATACTGAAGCTCGACGTTTTGAAGCTCTACTCATCCAAGCACTTCCCTTAACCACGAGTTTATGAAGATCATTTAGAATGGCAAATTCACAACCAAAAAGATGGAGGGGCAGTACAAAACTGAAGATTGAGCAGATAAATTACCAATGGAATGTTAAGAATAGCTAGTTGAAATGTATGATTAGCAATGAAATGAAAAGCCTCTATCATTTACATACTATGAGACTCTGTCACATTGAAAAAATTTCACTTAACCCTCATGTTGAAAAGAAAAGGATAAAAACTATGGTATCGTTCAACAATTAGAAAACAAATGATTCTAAGAAGATGCTATCCAACCCTAAACTAAAAAACCAACCACAGGAGATTACTCTAGATAGAGAAAATCGGCATACCTCACAGTTCTAATTGCCAACTTAAAAGGCAAAATTTCTGATATCCACCAGGATTTCAGTGACCTCTCGAACATCAAAATTGTATTTACCATTCCCCAATTTGGCTGATAACATAAACATAAACCCCATTTCCCAATATCCCTTATACAACTAATCCACTGTAGTAAGCTTTCACTAATCCATGAACAGAAGCAATGGGGACTATAAAAGTATTTAGAAGTTCTAATCTTCTGTTCGTTTTCCCAATTTCCTCAGTAAACAAACAAGCAGACATCGAAGCCTTGAATGCTATATAATATGCACAGCCCAAATTATTATGCCCACAACTAAACAAACAAGCAAACTGGAAATGGCAAATCCAATATGAAAATACCTGCAACCTAATCTGAATTGGGTTTTCCTTGTTTAAAACCAGAGGCAACATAACACTCAAAAACCCAATATTTTCTAACTTACAGCTCACAAAGACCTTGAAATGGCAAATCAATGGCTGTATCTTACAACCCTGGAGCTGAATAAAATGCTAATAAAAAGGAAAAAAGAAACCAGCAAAACAAAGAAACCCAGAAACGAAAACAACATGAAGAACCATAAAATAAACAATCAAAGCGAAAAAAGAAAAAGAAAAAAAGATTAAACCTTTTCAACATCTTTAGGGACGCCATAGCCATTAAAATACATCTGACCCACAAGAACTTGCATGGTAATATCACCAGTCTTTGCTTCCTTTAGTGTATCTTGAAACCATCTTTTAGAACAATCAGAGACAACCAGACCTAAGGGCACCCGTTTTTGGCCATCCAAAATAAGAGAACTCTCTTCCATCTTTTTCACCTTCAATCGCTCTGAGTCAACGCGGACCTCGCTCGGCCGCAATGGAACAATGGGAATGATTCTTCTTTTGTGTTTTGGTCTCTGTGAAGAGACTATTTTGTAGAGTTCTAGGAGTTTGCCTGTGGAAGCAAGTGACTTTCCCATACAAGAGAGAAGGAAAGATAACAATGTTTTTGGTTTCTAGTTCGTTTTATTGGGGTTTTGGTTTCTATTATTTTGGGTCTCTACTTTCTTTCGTTCTTTTTGTTTTTTAATCATTTCTTCTTTATGTGTTTTTTTGAATAACTTCGTTGTCTGATCTTCATAGTGATGAATGATGATGATGATTTATTGGGAGGATTTTTTTATATCTTCTTCTTTGTTTATTTACAATTTCAAAAAGGATTCAGATTTGTGGGATGTGAACTGGTGAAGTGTCAAAAGGCATAGAGAGACCTTTGTCCGGGGAGCTTATGTTTTTGTCGCTTTTCTCCTGATACTACAATTGAAAAAAGATTTAATCTTCGTAGCACTTGTTAAAAGTTATTTAATACTTATAACTAATTACATTATTTTTCTTTTTGTTTAAAATTTGTTATAAATAAAAATATTACCATGTTAAATAGCACTTATTTAATGTCTTTAATAAATATCATTGATTTTTTAAAATATTTGATTTTTGTTACTTTTTAAAATTATTTAAAAATAAATAAAGTTAATAAATACACTTGGATAATGATTAATGAGTGTTCTAAGAGCATTCCCAAGTTTTTCCCTTAAGTTTAAAAGGCAAAATTAACATGAAAATAAATTTTAAAAAAAAAGGAAAATTAATATTTTAATTTGGATTAACTTTTCAAAATAGCAATCAAATGCTTAGATAGAATTTGAGGGCAATGGAAGGAGGAGAAATAGGGGAAGAAAGTGTTGAAATTTTCTTGCATATAGCAAAGACAAATAAAGTTGGAAGAGTTCTTGAAGGTTTGTCAATTCTACCAAGGCCAAAAATAGGGTATAGGGAGAAGAAGAGATGTGGTTTGTAGTTTTTAGCTTGCTTTTATTATATTTAACTTTCCTTGTATCTCGAAAGATAAGTCTGATGGTTAAAGAGGCAGTTGGGAATTTAATCACACTCTTTGCAAAATTAATTTTTGTGAAAAGTAATTAAATCAAACACATACAACAATCAAGAATAAAAAATAAATCAATTACAAATTACAATTACAGAAACTTTAAATTTACTTAGAAAACTCCATATACTGTGGAAGAAAAAATTATAGGACCAACTCCAAAATAATCTATTATAAAAAAAAATACAATCACTCAAATTTTTTTGTAAACTTAAAAGCAAAAATATTAACAATAATACAAGTTATGTTTTTAACAAAATTCGTCTCCCCACCAAAAACTTGGGATCTGAAAATTTTTGTATTCCTAGAAAACATAATACTATATGAAATCACTACATTAAATACCAAAATTTTGTGATAGGAGTATATAAAATTCAATGCTAAAGAAAAGCCCTAGCGTGCTAAAAATCTTTGCTTTCTTCTTATATAATTCGTCAAAATAAATAAATAAATAAAAACTCTTGGTTTTCGTTTCTTTTCTCTCCATTTGCTCTTTTGGGCACCTATCCAAAGAAAGCCAATGTACATAATTCTTTACGACATGAGGCTTTCTTTTGTTTTCTCTCCATCTGCTCTTTCTGGCAACTGTCCAAAAAAAGCCAATACATATAATTCTTTGCAACATGAGCTTGTGCTTAATCCGCTGCCACTCGCTCAGTCCTTTTTTTTTTTTTTTTTTTTTTTAAATTGAAAAAGTTATCTTTAATAATAACAAATAGAAAAACATCATTCAAAACAGAATTATCAAATATCAAAAGAGTCTTCAAATTATATGCAAAAGTAGTCTAAAAACAGTTATGTATGTAACTCATCATTTAACATTATTTTTCTGATTTTTAAATGATTTTTTTGATTACCAATTGATTAATCAAATCTTAAACTGAATCAAGTGTTCAACAAAAAACTTTTCATCTCTGTATTTCATATCGCTTCTTAATCAAAGAATCTTTATCTTGTATAGTCTTCCTTTCATACATTATTCTCTCGTTACGCTTAACAATTCCTTATAATTAAGAAAATAATATAATTATTCAAGATTTTTCACGAACTTGAGAAGCAAAAAATATCAATAGTAATATGAGTCACCTCTCTAACTAATTTGTCTCGTTACAAAAAACCTAAAATTTATGAAATTTTCATACTTATACAACATCTAATATTATATAAGATGATTACCTTAAATACTAATATTCTTTGTATTATAGTATCCAAAAATCAATATTAGAGAAAACTTAAATGTTTAATGCATTAAAAATCATTACTTTCTTTCCATAAAATTGGTCAAAAGAGTAAGAAAAAATTTCTCTCCAACTGCTATCTTTGGCAACTGTACAAAACAGGGTCAGATCTTTATATATATATGTGTGTGTGTACAAGTGTTGGCTAAAACCAAAAAAAGAAAAAAAATAATTTTTTTTTTCGTTCCTTTCATAACGCACATGCACAAACATACACTTCGGTCATTTTTGTTCATTATCTTTTTTTTTTATCATAGTATTTTTTTATTTAATCTCTTTCTTATTTAATTTTTTTTCCTATTTAATTTCTTAATGAGTTATGGTAAAATCATTCATGGATTGAAATTAGAGCAAACACCCAACAAATATTTGTTGGGTGTATATGTGAGTGGTACCTATCTTACATTTAAAAAAAAAGAAAAAGAAAAGTAAGGTGTTTGTATATAAAATAGGCCCATAATCCATTAGTCTAGACTTTTGAGGGAAGGTGAAGACCATTTTTGTATACAAGTCCTCACGTCTAGAGGCTTGGGTGAAAGCTCAGATGAAAATGAATTTATTTAATTAATTAGATTTGGCTAGTTATTATTTTCTTAATTAATTTATTTTTTTAATCAATTATTTTTTCACCTAAAATGCAAAAATAACATAAAAGAGTTATTACGGGTCTCACAAAAAAACATGTGTCAAACATTTAGTTCGATATTCTGACATAAATGTGCTATGTACGCATACCAACTATCGAGGTTATGATGGAGGACCTTTACATAACAAAATAAAAAATAAAAGGGCTCAATTAATATTAGAAAAATAAAAAGTTCCAATTAAAATAACTGAACAGTGCGTAGACTAAATATGGATAAAATTTTTTGTTTGATCATCATGACAAATAATTAACTGGCTAATAAGATTCAAGATGAGAAAAATGAAATTACTCTTACCATACAAACTAGAAGTTTTTCACATGGTACAATAATTAGGCCAATCAGGCCACGTCAAACGAAGCCATTACAATTGCTGGCCAACCCCAAAAAACACCCATCAATAGCGCAGAACGCTCTCCAACGTACATTTGGAAACTTATCCCAACAAAAATTCTAATTTGAAATGAGGAAGATCCATTATAGAATGTTCCGCCAAAATCTTCGACGGAAAAAGATATGATGAACGTAATGATAACAGCTACAAATAGGAAACAAACCAAACAAAACAGTTTTTGTGCATAGATCCGAAGCACAAATCGCAATAATTTGGTGACAAAAAAAAAAAAGAAAAAAAAAAAGAAAAGAAACACACATCTGATTGTCTGCTTGCTAGCCAGTTTTCTGTAAGTTTTGGGGCAATTCAATGAAGGTTCCTGAGTGGGCATATGGGGTTCCTCCTGTTACTATTGTTGGGCAAAACTATTGCACCCCTCACCCCCTGGAGTTAATTGTCAAGAAGAAGATTAAAAAACTATCCAGTGCACAATTTGAAGTGTTTGATCTCACTGGAAACCTTCTCCTCCAGGTAGATGGCGGTGTCTGGAACTTCCAGTTGAAAAGAGTTTTGCGTGATCCTGCTGGTTTTCCTATCCTCACTTTGCGCGGAAAGGTAATTCATAATTTTTTGTAAAAATCATCTCAGCTAGGATGAACAAGAACACCCACACACACATATATAGCAATAAATAATGTTATTTTTTTTATAGTTGTCGTTCACAGAATTTATTTACCGAAAATATTAAAATAAATTTATGAAAATTGCTAACGAGATCTATTTATTTAATAATTTTTTTTAATAAGTGAATTTTATAAAACAATTATGTAAGAATAACATCATTTTATAGCTATAACATATATATTGTATTATTTTGATGCTGCGTTTATTGAAGAACTTGATGTTTTTAAGGTACTTACATTATGGCATAAATGGGAAGCTCATGCGAGTGAAAGGACCGATGGTAACAACAATGCCCTTTTCACCGTAAAACAATCTCATCCCCTTCAGATTAAAAAAGAGATCAATATCTTCCTGGCAAACAACTTCAAGAAAAAAGAACCTGATTTCCATATAACTGGAGCTTACACCTCTTTGTCATTCAAAGTTTACGAAGGCCGTAGACTCATTGCAGAGGTACTAAACGGATCTTACATTTATAATTTCCATAATAATTTACCCTTCAGATTTCAAAATGTGAACAACATCTATTTGAAAATATTTAGCTGATTGAATGATGTATTAATGTAACAATATTTTTTACAGGTCAAACATAACTTCACGCTTGAAAGTTTCTGCAAGGGAAAGGAAAAATACAGGGTTAAAGTTTATCCAGAGGTTGACTATGCATTCATTGTGGCGTTGCTCGTAATTCTTGATGAGAATGACACCCCTTAAGCAGGTGGTCTTTTTCTTTATCGCTACTTTGAAACGATGCTCTGAAATTGTGTAATACCCTTTGTTTCACAAGTAATGCTTGTGTGTAATATAATTCACTGTTATTTCATTTCGTCATTTGTTAAACGATGGCGAGGTTGGCAAATAATTGGCAGTATAAATGAATACTCCACTTTACAAGGCCCATATCTGGAGGGTAGACTAGAGAGGGCCATATGGGCTGTGGCCAGTTATGGGAAGCTGCCATTGTAATTTTTAGTGGTGTTCATTATTCGATTAAAATTGAAATATTGAACTGTATCGAATCGAATTAATAATTTTGATTCGTTTTTTTAAAAAAAACCAAAACCGAAAACTGAAATTAGTTTTTTTTTCAAATTAGTTTTTAAAGTTATTTCGGTTCGGTTTGGTTTTTTTTTCAAATTCGGTTTCCACCGAAAGCCGAATTAGTTTTTTTTTTTTAAACACATACCCAAACTCTTTTAAAAAAAAAAAAATCAAAGAGGCACATATGGGTTTAACTAAAAAACAATAGCTTTAATGATTTTTTTTCTACTTAAAATAGAAATATTTTTCATTAATTATTTATTGAAATAAAAATAATTGATTATATTATATTGACTCACAAAAAAATTAAAAAAAAGACTATGATAAAGAAATTCTTTATAAAAACACAAATTTATGTATGGGTGAATCCTAAAACCTCATGAAAAAAAATTGTCTCCTTGTATTAAAATTGGCACAAACATAAATTAAAAATTAGATTTTTCATAATATATATTCAACAATAAAATATACACAAAATAAATAGATTAAAAAAAAGAATATAAAAAATTAATAAAAAACCAATTATAGCGTGATTGAAAAAATAATGAGAAGCCCAACTAATTTAGTTTATAATATAAATAGAAACATATTTATTATAGAAAAATAATAATAATCATACATAATTTTCTTATAAAATCAAATATGAAATATGCAATATTTGATTATGCAAGTTTGATATTTTTTAAAAGCAAAATAATTCGATTTTTAGAAGAAAAATGCAAAAAAAAAAAAATGGTTTTTAACCGAAAACCGAACCCAAAAAAATTTGGTTTTTAACCGAAAAACCGAACATCAATTCGGTTCGGTTTTGGTTTTTGTTTTAGCCAATTTGGTTAACCGAAAACCGAAAAAAAAAAAACACCAAAACCGAATAAACACCCCTAGTAATTTTGTTATTCTTTTCGTCTGTGAGTATCACTTTCAGGTTTCAAATGGCTTCCCCCTCCAAAACGGAGAAATAAGGAAGATAGCTATAACCTGTTGGAACATGAACCGAACGATAATACGCAAATTTCAAGTCTTTTCCGAGGAAACTCCTTACCTTCTCTTCTACTAAATAAACAGTAAACGGCAATGGATGGCACAAAAATCCTTATTCCTCACCAACAATTAAAACCCACACCTTAACCTTAGCAGCAACTAGTTTTATGTCCTGTGTGTTGCTGCAAGTAATCTTATAAGATCTATGAAAAATAAAACATGCAATTAATTAATTATTTCACAAATCTAATAAAAGGAGTCAATAATTAGAACAAGTCTAAAATTGTGATCGAACGAATGCTCGAGCAACAAGTATATTGCATGGGTGTATAATTTTAGTTAATTAGAAGAAGTCTAAAAAAAGGCTGACAGCACGTTATTTGCAGAGATGAAGCGTTATTGCTAACTGCAACTTCCGGCGATATTTTGGTTGTCCAAACTCAATTGCTCTGCGGTTTTTACTCCAAAACCATCTCCGCAGCTTGTAGAAACCATTTTCTAACATCAAAACACTTTTTAATTCACTCCAAAAACTCTCCAAAATAAATCAAATTCAAAAGCATTTTTTTTAAGCCTCAACCTATTATCTTCTCACTATTAATTTGGAGAAATGAAATATCCATCAACAAACTCATCTTGTCAAGAAGAATAAATGGACACCCAGATCACTGGTTAACATGGTCAAAACAGAGCTCGCGAGTTTCCTTCTCTATTCTTGATTCTCTCTCGCCCCTTTACATTTAGAGATCTATTTGTAACTTAAATGAAATTAGGAGATTATTTTTTACAAAACTATAAGAGCAAGGATTGAAGTTAAGATATTTACAAAAAAACCATTGAAAATTTCTCTAAATGACATCTTTTTACAAATAATTATAATAATAATCATAATTTTTTTGGGGGTCAAAATTGGCATCTTATTCATGCCAAAAAGGCGTAAAACACATTGTTTTTATACTACAGGAGCAAGAGTTTAACTATGGTAAAAATTTATATTATTTTAATTTTTTAATTATAATATGTACAAATTAACAAAATTGTAGGGAACTATAATCCTTCTCCAAACATTATGTGAAAAATGAATAATTCTCAAAAAAAAAAAAATAATAAATAAATAAAGGGAATTGTCTTGAACGGAAGTTATTTTAGTCATTTAATCAAGTTGTTTTAAGTTTGAGTTCTTATATAATTATATTTATTCCATGCGTCTCATATAATAACAAAAAATTAATTTGTATCTTTAGCTCTAAAATATTTTGAGGATTTAAAAAAAGAATTGAAATCAACCGAAAGGTACAATTCAAATTGACTTTTCATTCTATACATATCCTATACTAATGTTTTATCCTTCTTCGACTTTGGTCATTTAAATACTCATTAGTCACCATTATATATGTCACCTTATCAATTGATAATTAATCACATGAAGCTTGAAATTTCTGCTTACGGACAAGTTTCTACACCTCATTCTATATAATCTATCACGATAAGCATCCCAACATATTTTCAATTAGTAATTATTGTATTTCGATGATGTTGCGTGTAAAATTTAAATACTACGAATTTTTCCGATACTTGTGTACAAGATACGTAGAAGAAAAAAGAAAACTACAAGTTTGTTAATTAATCACGAGTTAATTAAAAGCATTTATAGCCAGAAAAAAAAAAGAGTAAATAAAGGGAGGGTATTGAAAATGACAGGACAAGATTGGTGTGAAAATATACACAAGGAAAACAACAAAACATCAATAATTTGATGCTTAACATCTTCTTCCACTTGTTAAAATCGCCAAGTTTATCTTGTTTGTAAATATATTGTATTCATCAATCAATTACATCATACGTGTAGCTTTTGATGAGAATGTCATGAGGCTGATTTAACAAAATGAAAAGATTGAGAATAATTAAGTTTCAATAGGTGCTTCAAATTATCAACATGACCTAGCCCTCTTTCTCCTCACAACAGGATAAATTCCTGCATTGTTTTCAGAACGAAAGTGGATGGATTCTAGCAAAATGAAAGGCACTAAAGCAAAAGGGCACCACCAGCAACTCAAAGCAAAGAGTTAAATGCTGGTTTCTGCATGATTTCTTTTTTCTTTAGAAAGGAAAAAATATATATATATATGTAGATTGGTATTGTATGCATCGACTTTTGTTTAGTTCGGTTAGCTATCAACTGATTCTAATGCTATAAAAAATATTCATATTCCATCATGTTGGTCTTCTTATCAATTATATTGAATCAAAATGAAGATAAAGCTTGAGTTATTTGCCCTAATTGATAGTAGTACAAGGATAAGAAATCATGGCATATTCTGAGTCGCGTATCAGCAGGGAGATGTACTATCACAGACAGTATGTGGAATATTATCATATTCTACATGAAGAATTTTAATTGGTACAGCGGAATCAAACACTAAATCGTTAAGTGGACACTACTCATGTTGGCCAACATTCTCCACCTTCTCTTGCCTTCCTGCTTGTGTTTGATCCCTTTTGTATTTAAAGTAATGGTTGAACCTTGCTAGGATTGGAAAATATATGATCAATCCGTTGACATCCTTCAACAAATGTTTAGTCAAGGAGCAATTAATCCCCATCTTAAACCAAAATTATTACTGGTAATTAATTTTATATGTTTCTTCTTAGGTTATTTATTTTTGTACGTTTCTCTCTCTCCAACATTCACTCTCATATTAATCACTATATTATTGTTACAAGAATATAGCATATTTTGATTCTTTGGAACCATTACTTGCTAGCTACTGTTTGAAAACAACAGCTAAAAACTCAAAAGCATATAAAATTGAGAAGGAAAATAATGCAAGTTTTATCCATGATAGTCAGTATCTGCCGAATAATTCTTGATCAGCTACTGATTTTTTATAGATATATATATATATATATATATCCATGAGCTTGAATTTCGATAGACTAAAGGCGAAACTAATGGCACACACACAAAACAGTAGTAATAGCTTTTACATATTTTTGCGATTTAGTCTAGGAACAATGAAATTTTAATTATCAAGGGGAAAAAAAAAACCCTGATTATGTTGCCTTCGTATCATGATTTACATGACTACCAAGCCACCATACGCCTTTGGAAATAAAAAATATCCTCATTCAAGTCATTGAGACACTAATCCTTGAATGAATTTGGATTTGATCTAGCGTTACGATAATTAACCAAATTATTCTATTAGTTAAGTCAATCGAAATAGATCGATTGTCCTCATCTGCCAACAACCAAACAATTAGTGATTTTTTTCTTTTAGATTTTTGGCCCATATGATCAGATACGTGCCATATTGAATTTGAGCATTAATTAGACTTTAAGCAATCAGAAACATGTACGTGTATTATTCATTTGATTCCTCGTTACAAGTTGTGATTAAAAACAATTCGTGATTAATTATTAAGATAATGGAGAAAAAAATCAAGTTCTTATCTGCTTAATTAATCTGCGTTGCATTTAATTATTATGCCCTCATTCCTGGACCTTGATAAACAATTATGTGAGTTTGATGTGTCGGCATATCTAAAGTGGCGTTTAATTCAGGGACTTGCCCTACCCAGCTCCTTGAAACCAGTATTGTTCTGATCCCAAAAGAGCAAAACTCCGTGAAAATGAAGCAATTTAAACCCATCAGTTTGTGCAACGCGAGCTATAAAATTCTTAATAAAAT